GTGAAATAGTGGAAATAAGCAACAAGAATTAACAAGGCGAACTTAGCACAGTGCGTAGGCAACTAGCTGAGTCAGTGGGATCGTCGGTTCGAATCCTACTGAAAGAAGTCTGATGAGGAAATGTGGTGATTTCCGAAATAGCTATCACTTCTACCACTTCGAAAAAAAAACGGTCTCGAGCTCAATAAAAATTTTAGAATATAATTGTTATAAGGCCATAAAATAACAAAAACCAATAACGGTTTTAAAAAATGAAGGAATAACTGACGCTTTATGTTCCTAAATTTTAAGCACAGTTTGCCTCAAAAAGTAAATTAGTGCTTAACAAATAGCTAATAAATCATAAAATGAAGTATTTTTTTATTTACAAAATTTTATGCGTGCTTATTTAATTATAGTATTTAAAGAAAAGGCTCTATACTATACTTTTTAGAACCAGCTCAAAACTACAACATTTGTTCTAGCCCGGAGATGACCCTTTTTGAACTATCTAGGAACTGTTGCTATATGAACTGTCTCAGAACCATCTAAGCCAGATTCAGCTCAGAACAAGTTCAAAAGTTCTGCAGAGGGCGACAATTGTCACCTCGTAGGACATCGCCATGTTAAAAAAGACAGTTGAAAGCATTGAGTTGGGATAGATGTAGAACCAGTACCGTCCCTTTCCCGGCTAGCTCAGCGCAAGTTCGGAACTAGTTTGATTTGCTGCAGGGATGTTCAATCAGTGATCGCTGTTTAGCTCAAATACGTTTATGTGTGTATGTATGTGGTATAGCGCAGTCACGTCGCTCCTACACATCTCTTTTGCCTTTGTGAGCTCGTGTTTGATCGGCACTGATGTACAGATTTTTCGCGTAGCTATGCGCTGTATTTGGCAACCAAATAGGCTTATGCTTGTACGTCTTTGTAATTTTTTGTAAATTTACACCCAAAAAAAGGGTGCTTATCTTCCAAAAATAAAAAATATAAGTATGCCACTCTGCGTCTTTTTACAAATGCTTCGTTTAAAAAAAAAAAAATATTAAAATCGGTTTAGTACTTTGAGAAATAAGTCGTTACAAACGTGCTCCATATAATCAATTTTATTAATAGTATAGATAAAATATACGTTTACTTTACGTTACACTTCACGAAGTCAATCATAATTAAAAATTAAATAAAATTAAATCTTAAATTTCATGTTCCGTCTGATGGGGATTGAACTCGGACAGCTTTGGTAGCAACTAATTGAACCAAACATCTTTGCACACTCAGCTACAGCCATAAATGTAAACGTGCTTTCAAATGTTGAGTTTGAATCAACACCACATTTCGCTGCGTTGATTTCGTCAGTTCATAAGGTTTGCTCTCACTCTCTCTGAGAGACATCCTTATTACTATGTCTTATGGGTCAAATAAAATAAGGCTAACGTAATCCCTTATAATAAGGCATCACATGGAGTATAGTAACCTTATTCATCATCATTATTATCAGGCTTACAGATCATGTTAAAAAACGCTTCAAGCAGCCCCGCTAGCATGTTACACCATTTTTTGCTGGGCTGTCAAATAAGGTTAAAATGACTACACAAAGAAAAAAGTAACATGATTTTTTCAAACAGCATAATTTTCGGGGTTTTCATTTTAGCGATTTGAAAATTTTGAACAAAAAAAGTATTTTATAAAGCATTTTCACATTATCATATGGCGTTTTCTTTTCTCGAAAAAAGGTGCACTTATTCTGCCCTGAGTTAGCGCTGTCAAATTTTCATGTTCTTTTCTCAGCCTTTTCACAGGGCGTCGTGTTCTTTTCTCAGCAAGTTGCGCTCTGATCCGGCAAAAGTGCTGCCTTTTCTGCCCTCAAATAAACGTGAGGGCGAGAGTTGTACGGTTGATTCTTAATTTACGCTTGTAAAAAAAATATTTTCCGTATCAGAAATAAGTGTTTCCTATAAAATTAATTAAGGACTTACAGTTCAAGTGAATAAATTAGTGTTATTAAGTTCTATAAATGAACTTCTGACGGAGAAGCTTAATTTATGTTTCATTCTCATATGAAGAACGCAACATTTTCTCAGGTTTCAGCGCAACGCAAAGCAAGAGTTCCCATATAAAAGGGAAAAACTTATTTTGAGTAAAGAAATCGCTAATAGTTTACGGCTCATTCGTAATTCATAAACAAATTAAGTAATTTTGCCACATAAAATTTGTCAATAAATGCGAAACTCGCGAAAATTCAACCAGTTTCAAAAATTTGCTATCAGAATTATAAATTTTTTAATTATATTTTTTAGAAAAGTCAGCTTGGTACTACGCCGCCATAATTTTAACCGGAGAAGGGTTGCAAAATTTATTT